TGTGCCTAAAAGACATTGATAGACTTCTGAGTATAAATGACGCAACCCCCCATTTCCATCCTCATATTTGCAAAGGTGCTGGGGTTCAATGTTGAGGTACAGGAAGTTATTATGGCAGGCCCTCTTCCACGCAGCCAAGAATAACGTACACATAGGATATATCTTGCCTCCCTATTATTAATATACAAAGGCTCTCTGTTTCTTCTAGATGCCTGTGTGTTATGATGGAGTTCATTTTTTAAAAACCCAACAGGCCTCTAATAAAAATTCACAGTTAAGTTTATGGGGCATGATTGCTATCCTGGGTGTACGTGTCTAGGAGCAAGCTCCATTGAACTCGGAGGTGCTGATGCTTCTTTGGCTGCTTAAATTCAACTTGCAAAACCTTAGCAACAGAGCCAGCCTTTTGCTTTTTATCAGAAAGGCAAACCATCTCGCAAAGAAGAGCTACCCCACAAGCTGATGGAGAAAAGTTCCTTCTTGGGGAGGTCCATCTAGTGTTTCCAGAGGGTACATCAGATGGCAGGTTGAGACCTTTCTCTTCTGGAAAGCTTTTAACTAGTAATCTCTTGCTCTGGTGATCACCTTTAGTACTGCCTCTTCATTTTTGAAAAATATGTCATTTTGATGTTTTTATTATTGTATTCAGTGCTTTTTTTGTAAAAAAGAAAAAAAAAAAGGTGCCGGAACTCACGTTGCCGCCAGCAGTAAGCACTCAGCGTGCGACTACACATACCAATCCCAAGCCGAGCAGCGGAGCAGCGTTCCAAGCCGAGCAGCACCCTTACTATCTCACTATCAGATAGCAGATAGCAGACACAAAAGCAGCCCGCAGGCACTATGTTAATGATGTTTGCTGCTGATCTGCTATGCCCGACAGGCGATTCAAAATCACTTCATAAAATCCATTGGAAAAATGTGCCGGAACGCTGTTCCAGTGCGTTGTATGACAAAAAAAAAAAGCCCTGAGTGTATTTATTGCCTTAGCGATGTCTGTTTGTTTTATGAGCCTACACCCTCCACCTAAAGGGATCTGCCAGTGGAATGATAAATAAATGTATGAAGAAACCAATTAATTCAGAAGGAACCACATGAAAGAAAGGGAAGGAAGTACCCTGTTTAATTATTTTTCCTACTGGTCTGATCACCTCTGTGCTCATCTGCCCCAAACAATAATAAAACTCAAAATCGTTGTTATCACTGCATGGAGTTGCTGGAACAAGGGGGCTGGCCCACCACCCTCGCCTCCACGAGAGGATGGCCGTACTCCTGCTCTGAAGAGGGCCCCAGGGCTGCACTCCTCTTTGTCTCTCCTCCACTGCACCACTGCTAATTTACACAGTGCTTAGGTTTCTGTGAATCACAATGCTTATTCACCTGCCTTATTACTACTTCTGGCATCCTTGCCATCCGAGATTGCATGGCTTGCCTCTGGGATCTTCCAGCTGAGATACCTGGACAAGGCAAGGCAACCTCTTGGGGCATGATTCTGATGCATCCCGATAGATCCACTGGGTGTCGTGGTGACATTGTTGGATTGGCACTCCAGGGACCCATGTTCTGGCCCTCACATGGCCTTAAAGCTCTTTGGGTAACTTGAGAGAGCCTCTGCCCATCAGCTCAACCCACCTCATAGGCTGTTGTGAGAATCCAATGGAAAACAGGACTAGCTAAGCCACTCCGAGTTCTTTGCAGGTGGGAAAAGATGAAGATGGGTTAAAATGTAATACTAATTGCAATCACTATTGCCAATGCTGATGAACACATCATCCTTTCTCTCAGGGATGCAGGGCATCGTTCATCCCAAGAGCAAGATTCTGCTTCGGTGAACCTCCCAGAGCAGCCATGGTCAAAGGCAAAGAGGAATGGTGCCAAAATATACAGCACACCAACAGAGCCAGCAAATCTGAGCTGAATGGATTCACCAGCAGCAGCTATCCTTTAGAAAAGGCTTCATGGCCACTTAGAAGGGGTGGGAGCACAGGCTGCACAAAATCTGGGAAAACTCCACATTTCGCAGGTGGACGGGGGCGTTGCCACCCGGGCTTAATGTTCCTCATCTCAGCTCTGACTGGCTGCAGCAGAGTTTCTGCGTATTCATCAGGGCCGTTGGCTGCAGGCTTCCAGTAAATCAGGAAACCACTCAGGAGGAGAGCAGGACTGCCAGAAAGTCAACCAAACCCACAAGGGAACTGGGGAAAGTGTATGGCACTCTGCATTCAGAGTCAGGGAAAGTTGTTTAGCCATTAAAGCACCTTGCCCTGATATTTCAAGCACTCCCCGCTCTTAACCTACTGATCTGCTGTTCCAGAAGGCAGCAGCATAACCGTTCATACCAGGCACCACCTTGTCTCCTTGAGGATGGCATTTTGGGGAGGTCAAAGGGGTCGTCGTCACCCAGGAATAAACACACGCCCCAGTTTCCTGCATGGCGAATGCTTAAAGCCAGCCAACAATTTGATGATCTGAAAGGGATGGTTTTGTGCAAAGAAAGGGAGAGTAAGAGGGACAAATGCTCAGGAGTTCCAGGAGCTAATATAGCGGGAGGGGAGACTTGAGAAAAGGCTCAGAGAATAGGATGCTACACAGGGTGACTGCTAATGAATGGCTCTGGGATTGAAGTACCTCAGCCCTGTCTTTGGGGGTCTCAAAATGATTGACTTAGCAGCTATCAAAGTGTAAAAATCCCGAATGGCAAAGCATGGGATGATCCAAATAGGATGGCAAGAAATTTTGGTGCAAACTTACCAAATTTATACTTCTCCTGAACCTACAGACAAATTGGGATGCAGTGATATGGTGATATTCACAGTTTGCCGAATTTTGCAAGCAGTCAGAATAGAAAGAAAAAATACAGACAAAACTATGCCATTGTAGGGGAAAATGTACACAACCAGGCCTAGGGAAGTTCATGTAAAATTGTAGCTGCAAAAGTAGGTGATGGACTATATCTAGAAAAGCATCTATTTTAAGCAGCGCATTCACAAATGCATGCATGTCAAATCTAACATGTGCATAAGAATACTCTGAATTTTCATGCACACTTGAAAATGTATGCAAACTTGGACAGAAACAGAACAGAATGGACTTTGTATAGGAAGAATAAGAACCCGAGCAGAATCAAGTATGTTAGTGTGGTGCGGACTGGAGACTTGGGAATGGTTCTACTCCCCACTCAGCTATGAAACTCACTGGGTAACTTGGGGCCAGTCATTCCCTCTCAGCCTAATCAACCTCACAGGGTTGTTGTTGAGTGAATAAAATGGGGAGCAAGAGGACTAGGAAGCTACCTTGGATTCCTTGCAAGAGGAAAAAGGTGACTATAAAGATAAATAATTGAAAAATAATAATGGCAGTTTGTCCTTTATGAAGCCCTACATTCAAGACAGGCTCTGCCAGAAAGAGGCTGGGAAACTACAGCTCAGACACCTCTCATCCCAAGGATTATGCAGCCTCTCTCACGCTCTTACATTCCTTTTGCTCTTTGCAGGCCGTGTCTTTGTAGACAGCAGGCAGAGGTAACTTATTCATGGTGAGGAGCAGGGCAAAAATACTTTAAATAATAAATAAAAACATATCGCAACAACCACAGAAGCAGGTGTCTTCCCCCTCCAGTGCCAAGGATGGGACAAAAGGCTGCCAGGACTGCCGAGCTACTTCTGGAGATGTTTCAACCTGCAACCAGAGTCAAGAGCCCAGGGTCCCCCACGAGCTACAGCTGCAGGGCTGCTTCTGAGCGGAGGAGCTGAAACCATGGCCCCGGGGGCGGTGGGGGAGGCTGGAGTGTTTGTTTGGCAATTCAGGGCATGCCGTGTCACGGGTGACGTCAGCCACACAGCCCAACGGGAAGCCCCCTCTCAGAAGGGAGACAGCTGCGCAGATGTCCTGACCCCTTCCATCTGGGTGTCCTTGCCCGTTAGAAGGCATTTGCTGCGTCAATGTTTTCCTCTCTGACAAATTGTCACGGAAAGGTACAAGGCTGACACATGATTGCAAAAGCCAGACGATGCTGGCAGAGGCCATCCAAGCAAGACCGTAGCCTCGCATGCCATATTAATTAATCTGGAAGAGCGGCATACTGAGTGAGACCTGCCGAGGGAGGGGGAAACTTGGCCAAGTTTTCTAGACCGCCCCTGGTGCCAACAGTAAGGGAACTTGTGCACAGCCTGTTTTAGAGAGCATCGTACCTTCCCATCATGTACAGCTGGCAGGCATTTTTAGACCAGGGTGCAGATCCTCAAATCTGGCCTGGCTGGGGACTCACTCCAGCTCTTCCCAGTTCCCCAGAAGCTCAGTTCAGGGCTGCAAGGGCTTTGAGCTGGAATTCTGGCCCCACCCACAACTGGGAGGAGACCCAGGCTTCAGGCTTTGGACTGAAAGACATTTTGCCCTCCTGGTAGAAAAACACCAGAACGAGCCCTTGCGCAAGCACCCTGCAAACTAGAAATGTAGAAAACAGAGTGAGGCGGAAGGGGCCTCCTGGGCCATCTAGTCTGACCCCCAGCTCCAGCCAGCTTCATTAATTAATGACATGCCTACCATGTGCATGTCCAGCCTGTTCTTGAACACCCTCACTGATGGGGCTTCAACCACCTCCTGTGGTAGCCCATTCCATGCTCAGGGAGTACTTCCTGGAATCCACCTTGAACCTTGGTTCCCTGAGCTTTTCTCCATTGGAGCACGTCCTGCCCTCCACTGCAGGAAAAAAAGGTCATGACCCACCTCTGTGTGACACCCACTCCTGTACCCGTATGTGGCTAACAGGTCCCCTCTGAGTCTCCTCCTCTCAAGGCTGGAAAGACCCAGCTCCCTCAGTCTCTCCTCAACTAGAACCAAAGCGTTGCAAATTTGTGGGTCTGAAACTCATCTCCACACCACTCAGTTCCTCAAAGCCCACTGTGGAGCCAAGACCAGGATTGGAGGAGACCACCAGCCTTCCCGCACAGGAAATCTGCCAGCCTCCTTCCCTTCCCCAATGCAGCTCACTGGGTTGGACTTACTCGTGGAGAAGGTGCCGTCTGTGTGCACAGGGGGGGTGGAGGGAAGGAAAGGCGGATGTCCGACAAAGAAGGAGCGCAAGGACCGCTCTGAGAGGAGGGGCGAGCGCTGGGCAGGGATGTTCTCGCAGCTTCCCACGCTGTTGTGGATCTTCAGGTTCAGGGGCTTGTTCTTCTTCTTTACTCTGTGAGAAAGGGAGACAAGAAACCATGGCAGAGAAGAAGGGCAAGGGAAGGTGACCCACTGCTTTCATGTGTTACAGGAAGGCAAGCGAAAAAGAGACGAGGACATAGAAACGGTGGACTCTTGGGAGTAGCAACCAGCGGGCTGATTCTGGGTAGAAAGCCAGGTCTGCCTGCCCCCCTCCTGGAAAACCAGCCTTCCCCAACATGGCACCCTCCGGATGTCTTGGACTGCCGTTGCCAGCTTTCCCTGCCGTGTGGGCCTGAGGGTGGAGAGCCCCAGACAACACACCCTTGGTGCCTCCCTGCTCCCTCGATGCGTATGGCCATTGCTCCCTCTTCTCGCTCGCAAAGGATCGCTTCAGTGCTACCTCCTGCTTGCTTGGTGCACAGTCCGTAAGTCAGCAGCAGCATCTCCTGCCCTGGCTTCTTCCTCTGGTCTGGGACATTGCTAGACGAAGATGAACAAGAAAGTTGCAATGGCAAAGAAGAGGAGCAGGTCCAGTTCATGGGCCTCTGGTGGTTGGGGGCCCTCAGCAGGTGCCTGGACATGCCCCAGTTTGGTGCTGGTGCTGATTCACAAAGGCTCAGGATGATGGGAGTTGCAGGCCCAACGCATCTGCTGGTGAGAGGGGGCTGCTGTAGAACCAATGGCATTGGGCAGTCCTGCAGCCATCCTGCCAGCTTCTTCCTCTAGGCTCACTGAGCCGTTAGTGAACTGTGACCAGCCAGCCCCCTTCTTAGCTGGCCATTATATAGCTTTCAGGATGTTACAGACTGACACCTGAGTTTTCTTGTTTCCTTCAGTGGCATGTCATCTCCCCGCCTCCCCCCGATTGTAATTCTGGGAGTGGAGACTGTTTATTATGATGGTGGATCTGGAAGCTGCTCTGAAAGATTCTCCATATGAAGAGCAGAATATAAAGACTTGAAATCAGAGGTGTTGAACCTTAACTTAAGGGCCAAATGGAGGATGCTCTTGGGTCCACCCTCCAGGGTGGGCAGGGACAAAGGGGCAGGGCCATAAAGCAGGGTAACCCGTCCTCTAGCAGGAGGGTGTAGCAGGTCCACACCCTTGACCATTTTGATTGCCATTTCCGTGACTTTCCCATCCCTACAACACTCTTGCTGAGCTACAGTGACCAGAAACCTATGCTTGCACCATAGGGTTGTGGAAATGAAGTATAATATTACTAGATTTAATTTCTATTCCTTTCCTAATTATCCTTAACACAGCATTTACCTTGATCAGACCCAACTAGGTCAACTTTTTCACTGAGTTCTCCAACAGATCTCTGAGATTCCTTCCTGGGTCCATCACTGCCAGGTCAGATCCTTTCAACAAATATGTGAAGCTGGGATAGATGGGGACATGGACACAGACACACCTAAGTGTGCATCACTTTACCCATATTTACATGGAGCTGTATTTGACTTCTCAGTGCCCAGTCTGGAGAGATCGTTTAGCAGCCCTCCATAATCAATTTTTGTTTCAACCACTCTACATATTTTGGTGTCATCAGCAAATTTGTCTACCTGTTTATGTCCAATAGCAGATAATTTAGGGGCAAGTTAAAAAGTACCATTCCCAAAACAGGTGTTTGTGGGATTCCACTGTCAGCTTCCCTTTACTGCAGGAATCGATCTCTGCTTTCTGCTCTTTATTGAGTTAGTGATCCATAAGAAACCTCTCCTCTTATTCCATAAGAGATAAGTTTGCTCAGGCATCTTTAGAGAGGGGACTTTGTCAAAAACCTTTCAAAAGACCGAGTAAACAATGTCAACCAGCTCATCCCTATCAAAATGATTGTTGACACTTTCAAAGAACTCTAAAAGCTTAGTGAAACAGAACTTCTCCTGGCAGAAGCTATGTTGATTCTTCTTAAGCAACGCTTGGCTTTCTGTATGCTCAATAATTTTATTTTCCACTGATTTACCCAGAACAGGTTTTAACACTATAATTTCCTGGATCCCAAGAGTCCATTGTAAAACCAGGTATTTCATCGGCCACTTTCCATTCTCAAGTTATTGAGGCTGATCTTAGGAACATATAGTATAGGTTTGGTAGAACATCAGCTTTTACAGTGGAGTTTATTTGAAGAACTCTTGGCTAGATACCACCTGAAACCAGACATTTATAAGGTTTAGGGTTTAGATCCTTGTCACCAACACTATCAGCTTCAACTTTTCAGACTCTCTTCCTAAAAATATTAGCTCAGTCAAAGGAATCTTCTGCCCTGGAGAGACAGATGAAGTTAATTGCCTCTCTGGGTGTATTCCTTGGTCATCCAATGCTCCAACTGTCTACCTACCCACGCACCTACTTTTGATTTTTTTTTCTTTTAGATAATTGTTAGTCTTGATGTGGTTAGCTCCTCCATTACATTGTCAAAGTTTCCTTTTTCTGTTTTGGGCAACTCCTCCATCTTGTAAATATTGTCCTTGATAAGTTTCCCTAACACTGTGGGAAAAACATGCTGGTTAACCTTTGGACTTTCCTGCCCAATAATACTCTAGGTGAACTCATATGATGGTGGGTTTGAATAACTCTCAAGCTTCCTGGAAAGATTTTCCCTTTCAACACCCTTTTGTTGTTCAACACCCTAGATTTTCAACACCTAGACTTTTTACCGGTCTCCCCATTTTTGAGAAGTTTCCTTTGTCAAAGGCAAATCTGTTGGATTTGCTTGTCTCTTTTCTACTTTCACAGATTCACAGAACAGGTGGGTCAGAAGGGGCCAGGAAGGCCATCATGTTCAATCCCTCACTTGCATATAAACTGAACCTGAGAACACCACAATCACAATTTCTGAGGAGCTAAACAACATCCACATCTGACACACAATCCCGAGCACCAATGGTTCCTTCAACAGACCTTATATCCAGAGATTTTTCTCTTCCACTGGTTCTCTCTGTTCCACCACGTTTCCATCATATCCACTATATCTCAGCTCTCTTTAAAGCCAAGTACTCCAACTGCTGGAAATCCGGAACGAAAACATCTTCCCAAAGACGGTTATCCAACCTCAGCCTAAAGAGCCCCAGTGAGAAAGATATTCGACCACCTGTCCAAGTAAGAAGTTCCACTACTGGAACTGCTTTTACCATCAAGCAGCTTCTGCAACAGTGAACCCAACTAAGCCCATTGGCCATCTAGGCTCTCAGAGAGCAACCCTTCACCTCTTGTTTCTGACAGCCCTTCAGGTATTGGAAGAGGGCCACCATTTTGCAAGTAGCTTCCTCTCCTCCAGGGTAAGTGCATCTGGTTCTTCCAACTTTGTCCTCATAGCACTATGTTTGAGGACATAGTTCCGAGGACCTAGTTCAAGGGCAAAACATCAATTCCATCTGCAGCATCTCGAGCAACAACAAATTTCACTTAGTAGGACTAGGAGAAAAGTCTGTTTTGAAATACATGTACAGTCACAAGGATATTTCTACTCTTGGGCTAATGCAGCCCAGTTTCCTAGTTGGTGCCAATGAATGGTTTTATTCATAGCCTAAGTGCCACGTAGGGAGGTGATTTTCAAGGGGGAATTGCATCTGGGAACAAAGGGTTAATTCTTTTCTCCACCACATGCTGCAGTGCATACACACACTCTCTCTGCCTAGTGATTAAGGTTAGAAAAATGTTTTCCTTGATTTGAAGATATCTAGTGCAAGGTGAAAGTAATTGATGGTAGAATTCAAATGAAAGATTAACTGGCTGACTATGCCCCCTTTGGGATTTGAATAATTCCTTGTTGTTCTTTCTAAATCTGCATATGTAGATATAAATCAACATATGCAAAGTGTATGTACATTTGGGTCCTAGAGGCCTCCCCTCCATTCTTTTAAAGTGCCTAGTTGACACTCCTTTAGGGTTGGTTAACTGCAAGTTGAAACTGTGAAGCTAAGTTATGTAAATGTAGAGTGCAATCCAAAAGTGAAAAAACACATTAAAAAGTATTTTGGCAATTTAAAGTAAGAATAGTGGTTTAAGGTAATGTGCAAATTAATTTGTTTCACTGCAATTTGATGCGAACGGGCAACAAAGTCACTTAAAAGGGTAAGGTACAATCTTCAGGGATATGAGGTTTTTAAAAAACTAATCCCAATACAATGCATGTCCAATTTGCAGTGTAATCCTATACAAAACAGCTTGGAATTAAGTCCCACTTAATTGAACAGATCTTAGTTCCACGTAAATGTACACAATATCACAGACTTTACCAGATCTGAACCCAATCTGAAGGTGACATCCAATTTAACAAATCGTTGCGTTAAAAATGCACCAAGGGAGCTTCTGAAATGGTAAAATTCCATTTCCACCAGCATTCAGACCCAGTCTGTACAAATTTTAAAAATGGATTATACTTGGAATGTATGAAAACGCTGTCCCTGTTCACAAATTACACAAACACGTCCCACGAATGCCAACGCAAGCAGGAGTATCACTGTTGGGAAATGTTCTCAATTTCTCACGTGTGCACACTTGCATGAGTGAATATCCAGAAATGTGCATTTCTCCTGCTCATGCATTTTCACACTTTTGCCTGTGTGGAAATATGCATTGAAGGCACATGCTTGGGACAGTGCACTTTTTCACAAAGGAGAATGCACACCTATCCTTTTGGCAAGCAGGGGAGGAAGCAACTCATGTCCAGGAGAAAGAAATGAGCACTGAGGTGGAAAACAGGCAACCCGACAAACTTGCACCTCCCTCCATCGCCCCTGCACACACTGTACCTGGATTTGTTTTTAAAGAAATTGCTCGAACAGGACAGAAACCAGAACTCAGTAGGAGAATATGCTTCATGTATCCCTGGTCCTAGATCCATGGTCCCGGACGTTTTCCCATTAAAAGGATCTCTTTGGACAGTAGGAGATGCCTAATATTCTAGAAAGCCACACTCAGATTCAGCATAAGTGCCCAGAATTCGTTAGCATGACCATCCATGTAATGCTGACATGCATATCCGTCAACAATCAAACCCACCAATGCGTCATAGGCTAAATGCAA